AATTACGAGGTGGTATTACAATGCTGTTAGTGCACTGTCTGTAATTACGAGGTGGTATTATACTATGTTGGTGCACTGTTTGAAATTACGATGTGGTATAACACTGTGTTGGTGTACTGTTTGTAATTACGAGGTGGTATTATAATATGTTAGTGCACTGTCTGTAATTACTAGGTGGTATAACACTGTGTTGGGGCACTGTTTGTAATTAAAAATTGGTATAACACTGTGTTGGTGCACTGTTTGTAATAACGAAGTGGTATAACAATGTGTTAGTGCACTGTTTTGTAATTACGAGGTGGTATAACACTGTGTAAATGCACTGTTTGTAATTACGAGGTGGTATAACACCGTGTTGGTGCACTGTTTGTAATTACGAGGAGGTATTACAATATGTTAGTGCACTGTCTGTAATTACTAGGTGGTGATACACTGTGTTGGTGCACTGTTTGTATTAACGAGGTGGTATAACACTGTGTTGGTGGACTGTTTGTAATAACGAAGTGGGATTACAATGTGTTAGTGCACTGTTTTTAACTACGAGGTGGTATTACAATGTGTTAGTGCACTGTTTGTAATTACGAGGTGGTATTATACGATGTTGGTGCACTGTTTGAAATTACGATGTGATATAACACTGTGTTGGTGCACTGTTTGTAATTACGAGGTGGTATTATAATATGTTAGTGCACTGTTTGAAATAACGAGGTAGTATTACACTGTGTTGGGGCACTGTTTGTAATTAAAAATTGGTATAACACTGTGTTGGTGCACTGTTTGAAATAACGAGGTGGGATTACAATGTGTTAGTGCACTGTTTGTAATAACTAAGTGGTATTACAATGTGTTAGTGCACTGTTTGTAATTACGAGGTGGTATTATACTGTGTTGGTGCACTGTTTGTAATTACGAGATGGTATAGCACTGTTTTGGTGCACTGTTTGAAATTACGAGAAGGTATTACAATGTGTTAGTGTACTGTTTGTAATTAAGAGGTGGTATTACAATGTGCTGGTGCACTGTTTGTAATTACGAGGTGGTATAACACTGTGTTGGTGCACTGTTTGTAATTACGAGGTGGTATTACAATGTGTTAGTGCACTGTTTGTAATTACGAGGTGGTATCACACTATGTTGGTGCACTGTATGTAACTACGAGGTGGTATAACACTGTGTTTGTGCACTGTTTGTAATAACAAGGTGGTGTAACACTGTGTTGGTGCACTGTTTATAATTACGAGGTGGAATAACACTGTGTTGATGCACTGTTTGTAATTACGAGGTTGTATTACAATGTGTTAGTTCACTGTTTGTAATTACCAAGTGGTTTTGTTCTAAAAATAAACTGTCTTCAGGAATAGTGAATTGAACCAGATACTGAATAACACTTCGGTATGAACCGTAGGGTTATTTTTTTTAAAAGGGGTTTTAATAAAAAAATTAAAAAATTTCTGAAACATTGTATCTTTTTTAATTTTTACCAGGCCAACATTTTGAAAAAGGGAAAACATAAAACATTTAAAACCGTTTACGCCAGCGGGAAGGGGGCCAGGGGGGAAAACTAAACATTGGGTTTTTCCCAAAGTCTAAAACTACTCCCCCCCTTTTGGGAAAATATTTTTAACGGGAAAGGCCTGAAAAATTTTTTTTCGGGAAAAGACATTCAATTTTGTAGGGGGTTTTGGCGCCCCTTAAAACGATTTTACGAAAACGAAATTTTCAAACTAGCAAGCTTTTTCAAAAAGGGCAAAACAGATATAAATCAATTTCTCCCCAAATTTTTTAAAATTAAAAATTTTTTAAATCGTTTTTTTAAAATTGAATCTAAAAAATTTCTAAAAGGGGTTTTAAAAAACCCCTTCCCTGTTTTTTTTGAGAGGAAAAAATCGAAAATTTTTTGGGTTCCTAAAAAAATTTTTTCCTGCTGTTTTTAGTTTAAATTATTAAACGTTTTTACTAAAAAGAGGTTAATGACCTACACCCGCAAAGCTGGTGTCAAAACCATTTTAAACAGCTCATATACAGGTTTAATACAGCTATTATTAATCTTAAACCATGCTCTTTATTAACAAACTTAATAGAAAAAGCGGGAAAAGTACTAAAATTAGGGCTGTTCCCCTGAAATAACTAATTGGGCAGGAAGTTATCACTTTTCAAAAAATTTCTATTAAAAAAAACTGGGTTGGAACATTTTTGAAAAAAAGGTATTATTTTTTATTTTCGTAAATCAAATTTTTAAAATTTGTTATCTTTACTTTTCTCTTTAAATTGCGATTGTAGACCTGATTGCTATATTATGAAAATATTTATCAGTTGTTTACAATATTTATGATTGTTGGATTATGACGGGTTTGCAAATTATAGTTGTTAAAAATTTTGACATTTCTGTATGATTGTTTTCCGCCGTAGAGAACAAAATTTAGAACAGATACTCTGTTAAAGTTGTTTTTATTATAATCTACCCAATGAACTCAAGGGCTACGGAGGTCACAATGTCCGTCTGTATTTTGTTTTGATCATAGTTTAACATTCTTTATTATATTATTCATGTGTAGAAGTTGTGATGTACTTGGACCAAAGTTTCACAAACATATTTGAGCCGCGTCATGACAAAACCAACATAATGGGTTTGCGACCAGCATGGATCCAGACCAGCCTGCGCATCCGCGCAGACTGATCAGGATCCATGTTGTTCGCTTACAAACCCTGTAACAAGTAGAGAAACTGATAGCAAACAGCATGGATCCTGATCAGACTGCGCGGATGCGCAGACTGGTCTGGATCCATGCTGGTCGCAAACCCATTATGTTGTTTTTGTCATGACGCGGCTCAATTTTATTTAACTGTACAAGGTGGCCGTTATAATGATATAACTGGTGGAAAGCATCACACAATAACAAAACAGAATTTTATTTGCAAAAAGCTATTTTATTTTACAAAATGTTGTTAACATAATGCATGAGTATAATAAACTTTGTAACACAAAGCTGTCGGGACGATAAAGGATATTTTCAACTGAAATATTACACACCATGTCATTTATGTTATTACAAGGGTAAATTAAGAAATATCTTCCGCGAATTATTCTCTATGGTAATGGTATGATTATGTTCATACCCTACAAGAAATATTACCTGGGGGGTATTACTTAATTCAATAACATTAAAGGCCTATGACAGATTTACACCAAATAATTTATAGAGATGTTAAAAATGGTGCATGTGAGGCAATTGAAAGAGGTAATAGTTCCGTGAGGTAAACTAATTAAATAATGTCACATTTCAAATGTTTTTTTTTATTTGAATAAAGCAATGATTTATGTCAAGGCTACTGTTATAAATCAGACAATGTACATAAAACTGTGTTTTACACATTGTATAACGTTCATCATAGATAAAATCTCAAAAGAAAGCAAACGAAAAATTGAAATCACGTTTTAAAATATTTATAAGCAAAGTTGTTTCATTTTTAAACCTATAATTTATGGTGGTTATTTAGATGTTTTACAGCACGATTTAGAATGCATTGTCATCGATGAATTATTCCCTTACAAGTTCTTTTTTTCTTTTTTTTCAATCAGTTTGAAACTAGATTTTGCGCTATTGCGCATGTTATGTAAGAAGATTACGCATGCGATTGTCAGTCAATTATTGCAATGAAATCCGTTGGAAAACATACAGACAGACACATCCCTAAATCACTAATCTGTCAACATACACAACATAAAAATGTGAACATACGTCTCATTATTTCAAAAGGCTTATTGAAGAAAATTAATTTGTTTACTTGTCTAAGGTTATTGATTCATTTTAAATATTGACATCTGAGATGTTTGTGTTTCAAACATTTTTATTCATGTAACTTACTATACAACTTTAAAGAAAATACATATAACATTTTTATGCCTGATCATGAATTGTCGTCTATTGGGTCATTCATATGTGGTATCTAAGAACTCTTTTTATTTTCAATTTAAACATATTGATCGGCACGATATAACTTTCGGTTTGCTATTACATTTGCATAGATCTTGATAAGGAGATAAGGTAGGTGTTGATGATATTGGGTGACTATTTCATCACATATTTTACTACGTCCCAGGAGTGTAACTAAACGGCAATACACTATATTATAATTCCAAATATTTATAAGTGAATTATTTTCAAATCTATTATTTTAACTGGTCTAATTCATTAAAACTATTGCTACGCGAAAAGCAGTTACTAATTTTCAAAATTATAGTTTTTTAAAATCTGCCAAAAGACTTTATATTAATTCAAAGATATATGTGATGATAATGATGCATCAGAATGATAATAATGATTTATCAGAATGATGATGATAAAAGTGATGTATCAGAATGATGATGATGATGTTAATAATGACTTATCAGAATGATGATAGTAATGATGATGTTTCAAAATTACACAGCTATGATAATGATGTATCTGATGATGATAAAATGATGTATCAGAATAATAATGGTAATAATGACTTATCAGAATTATAATGACAAAGGATAAAATGATGAATTAGAATTATGATGATGATAATGATGTATCAGAATGATAATGGGTGTATTGAAAATCTATAGATGATTGCATATGGTGTCATTTTGACGAACCGCGTTAAAATTTGGTCATTTTGGCGTATTTAAGAACGAAACTGGGTGCTTGTACTGTAATTTTGGTTGTCAAATTTGTTTTCGCCTCAGAATATCTAATAACAACGTTCTTTGAAGGCTATCCAGTCGCTGGAAAAAAACTGTCGTTAAATATACCGTTAACACAAAAGTTTTGAGAATAACAAATTTTAAAAACGTTGATAAAGTTTTTTTGTGTATATTTTATTTCATTATATATTTTTTCAAGCAAAATACAGAATATTTACAGTGAAATAAAAGTGATATTAAACATTAAAAATTGCGTTCTTTGACGGTTTTTGCACGAGCTGTTTGGCGCTGCATTGTGACGTTACCTTATTGTACTGCGACGGTCGTAATGACGACAATGTTGTTGTTAATGATGACGGTCGTAATGACAACGATGCCGTTTGCCTTAATGACGACGATGACGTTGATGATGATGAGGGTCGTCATGACGACGACGTCGTTTTTGATGACGACAAGTCGTAATGATGACGATGCTGCTGTTGATAATGACGGTCGTAATGACGACGATGTCTTTGTTTATGATGACGATGTCGTTCTTGATAATGGCGGTCGTAATAACGACGATGTCGTTCTTGATAATGACGATCGTAATGACGATGTTTTTGTTGTTGATGATGACGGTCGTAATTACGACGATGTTGCTGTTGATGAAGACGGCCGTAATGGCGACGATGTTGTCGTTGTTGATGACGACGGTCGTAATGACGACGATGTTGTTGTTGATGATGATGGTCGTAATGACGACGAGGTTGTTGTTGATGATGATGGTCGTAATGACGACGAGGTTGTTGTTGATGACGACGGTCGTAATGACGACGATGTTGTTGTTGTTGATGACGGTCGTAATGACGACGAGGTTGTTGTTGATGATGATGGTCGTAATGACGACAATGTCGTTTTTAATGATGACGGTCGTAATGACAATGTCGTTGCTTATGATGACAGTCGTAATGACGACTATTTTGTTGTTGATGATGATAATGATGACAAGCAGAAGTTCATTGATTGTTTTGTTTTGTTTAGCTTAATATATTAGTAACGCAACCATGAAAAAATCGTACTGTTTATTTTGGTCACGGTTATAGATCATTGTTGTGAACACAAAATATCAAAAAAAACGAAAAAAAAAAAAAAAAAAAAAAAAAAAACTAAAACTAAACAAAAAGCTACTAAATATTTGTAAATGTGTGTCTTCAAATCATTATATTATTGAATAAATATGGCGACCGAGATAGTTCATGGCATGTCTATAGATACTAAAAACCGTCATCTATCAATAAAGAAATTAACGTAAACGGTCTTCCATATAATTATGTAGGCATGAATTTATTTATTCAATTTGCCGATTAACATGTCATTAGAATGACCGCTTTTAAATGTAGTAAATGAACGGAAATCTACCTACAGTACTTTTTTTTAAAAAAGTAAATATTATCACAAAACGCGATCAATGTCAATGCGTCCTTTATACTTTTCAAATAAAGATATTTTTTAAAGATTTCAAATTAATACACGAAACCCGTTCTTATACTGAAATTTATAAAAAGACTTAGAGTAAAAGAGCTGACACTTAAAGAGATTTAATATCATGTTTGTTCATTTTGTACAAAAAAAAAACATTCTTGTGGTTGCGTGTCATTCCTGAATTAATTAATACACATCATAATTATTAAGAGATTAGTTTCCACAGCGTAAGTTAGTAACATGTTTTTGTTCATTGAGAATAATCAAAGGTATGTCGTAAAAAATATATTTAACCTTTCTGTACAGTCGCCTGCTCGGCTTACTATTGAAGTGATTTCGATAAAGGTACATGTAAAATAACGCCTATGAAGCATCAAACTAAAAACTATTTCAGTTTGAAATCTAATAATTTCATTTGTGGTTACATTTTTATTGAGAAGAAATGCTGTACCTAAGAATCATGATTCTCGTTTGCAATACTAGTACTTTATTTTTGTACAAATATTCGGAAATCAATACATGATAAGAAATACTATGTAAACCAGTTTATAGATATTTGCAATTGTTAAACAACTAATAATAAACGAGAACTAATTTATATTTTACTCTATGTTAAATGAGCCGTGTCACGACAAAACCAACATAATGGGTTTGCGACCAGCATGGATCCAGACCAGCATGCGCATCTGCGCAGTCTGATCAGGATCCATGCAGTTCGCTATCAGTTTCTTTACTTGTTATAGGGTCTGAAGGCGAACAGCATGGATCCTGATCAGACTGCGCAGATGTGCAGGCTGGTCTTGATCCATGCTGGTCGCAAACCAATTATGTTGGTTTTGTCGTGACACGGCTCAAATATGCTTTGCTCATAGGTTCACTGAACGATAATTATGTTCATCTCGGCTTTGTACCATTTTGTAAACTTGACTACAAACACTTTTTATATTATTTACTATATTCTTTGAAAATCACATTGACAGGTTATATATATGAATTATAGATGTACTTTGTACAAATCTAAATAAAATATCTGTCTGTCTGTCTGTCTTTATTTTTGTTTTGGGTAATACTAAAATTAGAGCAGGGATTTACAGGAAACATTATGTACATATTTATAGATCATATACATGTAGATTCTATAGGCAAAACGCTATGTATAAGAACCATAACTCACTTTTCCATTTTTTAATGATTGCCCTTTCTCTTATTTCATTCTTAATTATTGTCCAGGGTATTATAAGTGTTGGAGATAACCTAGTATTAATCTTATGAAGGAAAAGCATGCTATTTAATACCATAACTCTTTTTAATATAATGTAAAGGTTAAAGCCCTTTGTAATTTTTCACATTCATTTTTTTCTCGGATAAAAACTAAAAAGTATTAGAGATACAAACTTGAAACTTTATATTAATCATTGAGCAAAAACTATACTACGTCGCATAGTTTTAAACTAACACTCCTTTCTCACTTAGTGTTATTTTTTTTATTATTTTTTTTATTTATTTAATATATCTTATTATTTTTGTTGTTGCTGTTTTGTTTGTCGGATGATGCCAATAATGTTATTTAGAGGTTAATACTTGGTTGCTGCTCGCCATTATACGATAATGGCCCGAAGATGTGCATAATGGCCCAAGGGCCGCAGGCCCGAAGGACATGATGAACTCGAAGGCCATTATCGCATACTGGCGAGCAACAACCAAGTATTAACGCCTTTAGGGTCCGTTCTGGTCAACGCTCTCTGAACATTTCAATCGTTCAATTTTGAACGTTCTTGAATGAAGTTGACGCATCTAGCGTGTGATTAATGTGCGTTTAACGCATAACTATCTTGTGTCAAACGCACGAGAAGCGTGTAACAGCGACGAATCAAGATACGTCTGAAACCCATAAGCGTGTGCTGAAAACGTGCCACTGGCGCGGGACGAACTATTTGTCAACGCGTGACCATCGTTGTGAGCGTATCACTAACGCGTGAATAACGACAGAATAGCGTCTTGATAACGTGTTCATTTTTACAGCTAAACGGGTACAGAACGCTGGAAATTTCACAGTGCATTCAATAGTTCTTGTGTGTTTGAATAGTCTGCACCATGACAACAAGAAAAAAAGATTGGGCTTCTACTAGCTAGATTTTGTATTTCCAAATCCTTGACGTCTTTATATCTATGATTTAGTCCAACACTGTCGTCTTTGTCGGGGCCTTCTTCTCTGTGGATGAATGTTTGGGTCTTCTCTGCGGGTAATTTCCTGACACAATAGCGTCTTGATAGCGTGTTGACTTTTACGGCTAAACGGGTACAGAACGTTGAAAATTTCATAGTGAATTCAGTTGTAGTGTGTTTGAATAGTCAGCATCATGACAACAAGGAAAAAAGATTGGGACGACGGCTTCTACTAGCTACATTTTTGTATTTCCAAATACTTGACGTCTTTATATCTATGATTTAGTCCAACGCTGTCGTCATTGTCGGGGTCTTCTTCTCTGTGGTTGAATGTTGGGGTCTTTTCTGCGGGTGATTTCCCTCGATATGTTCAGCTATGCTAAAATTCAGTACATCTACTTGATGCTTAGCTATAGCAAATTTATATTGCCTACTTAATCTTTCAGGATCCATAGTAGGTGTTCTCTACGATAGCCCAAGGTCAAATGAACCTTGCTTTCTACATATGCATAGTTGTTTGGTGAAACAGTCGAATGACGCACAAATGACGCCCAATGGACGCAAAAAGGACGTTCCTTTACCCTTTACCTTTAGTCACACGTTTTGTACGCTTGAAGACCGTTCAGCGGTCGTTGACAGGTCGTCTGAGAGTCGCCAGTGAATCGTTCACTGCAAAGCAAACGATGATTAACAACAAAGTAGCGATTTAGTAACAGCTGAATACCGATAGACGAAAGTGTGCAACGCTCAGTGAAAGTTATTAAAACGTTCTTAAACGTTCTTCAGCGTTTGAAATTTAAACATTGAAGAACGCTGGTCTGAGTGAGAACTTTTGTGCATGTTCAAAACTTTTTTTCCGGACCAGCGTTCCACGCCGATTCCCGGCGATTACAGACGTTCACTGGAGTTCACACAACGTTCTTCTGGCGCTATCCTAGCAACTATTAATTATGTCATTTTAACTTTAAAAAAAACGTGTGTGCAAGTGACTACAGTTCATTCAACGTCAGCAGCCATCTTGAAAGTCACTGAGAGTTGATGACGTCATTCTGCACGTGCGCTCATCCACTCGCCCATTATAGAAAAATAATGCCGAGTAGCAAGGCGGCCAAAATTGCATAATGACCTAGATCTTGCCATAATGGCCCTGAAATACCCTAGATTTTGTTACTATATATAGTAACATAGGTATTAATACGTCATACACTCCTCGGGACCAATATGAGATACGCGTATCATCTGTGATAATGAGAGTGCGTAGCAAAATCTTGTAGAGGTTGGACATGGTTCGACACTCCAGTGATAAATTAGTGCGCTGTTTGTAATTACGAGATGGTATTACAATGTGTCAGTGCACTGTTTGTAATTACGAGGTGGTATTACACTGTGTTAATGCACTGTTTGCAATTACGAGGTGGTTTTACAATGTGTTAGTGCAGTGTTATTAATTACGAGGTGGTATTATAATGTGTTAGTGCATTGTTCGTAATTACAAGGTGATATAACACTGTGTTGATGCACTGTTTGTAATTACGAGGTTGTATTACAATGTGTTACTTCACTGTTTGTAATTACCAGGTGGTATTGTTCTAAAAATAAAACATGTCTTTCAGTTCAGGGTAATAGTGCATATTAGCAACCAGAAAACTGAAATAACACTCGAGGATGAACCGATAGTGTTATTTAAGTTAAAGGGTTGCTAATATGCACTTTTATTCTGAGAGACATGTATCATTTTTATATTGTACCGGGCCAACATGTTGATAAAGTAAAACAGTTAAATACAGTAAAACGTTTACGCCAGCAGAGCGGCCAGGAGGGAAAACTAGACCTAAGTGTATATCGATTACTCGCCCCTTGGGAATATTATTGACCGGGCAAGGCCATGCAAAATGAAGTTGACTGGACGACATTCAACTTTGTAGTGTTTGGCGCTCTTTACGATTGTACGTAACGAAATATTTTCATTACTTGCAAGCTTTTTAAACAGGACTACAGATATCATCAATTTCTGCAATATTTTCCTATTAAAGTATTGAATCGTTATTTCAATTGAATCTCAAAATATAATAGCGGTTTAAAACCCTTCTGTTATTTTATGTAGATGTGATTTACAAAAATCGTAACATTTTGGTTCCTGGTATTTTTTTTGCTGTCTTTAGTTAAATTAGTAAACGTTTTAGTAAAAGAGGTTAATGACCCTACACCGCAAGCTTGGTGTTCAACCCTTATTCAGCTGGACACTACGCTTTCCTTTTTGATTACATTTGACGGATCAATAGGGGGACTCTCTGGTGGACAGTTCTTAAAGCCATTTTGGACAGAATTGTCTTTATGTTCGACTTTTGCTTTGCTATGTCGGGCCTTTGTAGATGATTTGCTTGCTGGTATGTCTTCTGTTAAACA